ATGGAAAGCACAGAAGAAATGGACAGATTTCTAGATACTTATGAATTACCAAAGTTAAATGATTAAAAAAATTTTAAACACCAAATTACAATCAGTGAAATTAAAAACGTAATTAAAAATTTACCAACTGAGGAAAGCCCAGGTCCTGATGGTTTCACTGCTGAATTCTACAAGACATTTAGAGAAGAACAACTTGTCAGTGAAATTGAAAGGGAAGCAATACTTCCAAATTCATTCCTGGAAGCAAGTGTTACTTTGATTCCAAAACCAGGGAAAGGCCGGGAATTTAGCTCAGTGGTTCAGTGGCCTGCCTTGCAAGTGCAAGGACCCGAGTTCAATCCCTGGTACCAAAAAAAAAAAAAAAACAAAAAAAAACCAAAACCAGGGAAAGACCCAATGAAAAAAGAGTACTACAGGCCAGTCTCTCTAATGAACATAGATGCAAAAGTCCTCAGTAAGATAATGGCAAACAGAATACAGAGGGTCGTCAAGAAGACCATACACCCTGACCAAGTTGGATTTATTCCAGGGATGCAAGGATGGCTTGACATATATAAATCAATAAATGTAATGCAGTATATTAACAGAATCAAGGACCAAAACCATATGATCATCTCAGTAGATGCAGAAAAAGCTTTCGACAAAATTCAAGACACAGTCATGATCAAAACCCTGCAGAAAAATGGAATAGATGATCTTTATCTCAACTTTATAAAGGCTATGAAAAACCAACAGTTAACATCATATTAAATGTCCAACAACTGAAAACCTTCATGCTAAAATCAGGAATAAGACAAGGATGTTCATTATCACCACTCCTGTTCAATATAGTTCTAGAAACATTAGCCACAGCAACTAGACATGAGAAAGAAATTAAAGCAATAAAGATAGGAAATGAAGAAGTTAAACTGTCATTATTTGTAGATGATATGATACTCTACATAGAAGACCCAAAAAACTCTGCCAGAAGACTTCTAGACTTAACACTTTCAACAGAGTAGCTGGATACAAAGTCAACACTCAAAAATCAATAGCCTTTACAGCACCTGCCTTGCAAGTGCACTGTCCTGAGTTTGATCCCCAGTACCATAAATAAATAAATAAATCCAAAATGCTGTTTCAGAAAGAAGGCTTTAAAAAAATCAATAGCCTTCTTGTACACAAATAACAGACTCACTGAGAAATTAGGGAAATAATTCCTTTCACAATAGCATCCAAAAATATGAAGTATCTAGGAATCAATATAAAGAAGGATGCAAATGAACTCTACATTGAAAACTACAGCACTAATAAAAGAGATTGAAGAGGATATAAGACAATGGAAAGACATCCCCTGATCCTGGGTAGGAAGAATTAACATAGTGAAAATGGCCATACTACCAAAACTGCTATACAGATTCAATGCAATCCCAGTGGAAATCCCAACAGTATATTTCACAGAACTAGAGAAAATAATAAAAAATTCATTTGGAACCAGAAGAGACCTAGAATAGCAAAAGCAATTCTAGGCAACAGAGACATAAAAATAACAATAATAATAAAGTATTCCAGAATCAATCTGCAAACTACCCAAATGTCCAAGAAAATACAGCAAAAGTAGGAGTGGTAGATCAAAAGTTGTTTTAACCTATATAACTCTAGCCTTCACAGACAAATCTTTTTTATTGCACTTTCAACAAATCCTCTCTAGCTCAGTTTCAAAAAAGAAAATAAAATCCATTAAGCTATGAAAAAGCTAAGACAGCATAGCTAATCACAGAACATTAAAGTAGCAAGTTGAACAAATCATTAAACTGCTAACTCTGCAATCATTAATTTTAAGTATGCTCAGCTAACAAAAATAAATTTTCAAATTTGTACTGCTTTGGCCGGGTGTGGTGGCGCACACCCGTAATCCCAGCACTCAGGAGGCTGAGGCAGGAGGATCACTGTGAGTTCAAGACCAGCCTGGGCTACATAGTGAGTTCCAGGTCAGTCACAACTACATAGTGAGATCCTCTCTCAAAAAACCAAAAAACCAACAACAAAACAACAAAAAATATAGAATATATAAAGAACTAAAAAAAATCAGGACCCCCCCAAATATAAAGACCCAATTCAAAAATGGGCATCTGAAATGAACAGACATCTCTCAGACAAAGAAGTAAAAGCAGCAAATATATGAAAAAATGTTCTACATCACTGGTCATTCAAGAGATGCAGATGAAAACAACACTAAGATTCCACCTCACCCCAGAAAGAATGGCTGCTATCAAGAAATCACTCAATAACAAATGTTGGCGGAGTTGTGGGGAGAAAGGAACCCTTCTCCATTGTTGGTGGGAGTGCAGGCTGGTGCAACCACTATGGAAATCAATATGGAGATACCTCAAAGAGCTGGGACTAGCGGTTCCATTTGACCCAGCCATCCCTCTGCTGGCCATCTTTCCAAAAGAATTAAAAGAATCATATCACAGTGATATATGTGCACCCATGTTTATAGCGGCACAGTGTGTAATAGCTAAAAGTTGGAAACAGGCCATTTGCCCATCAATTGCAGACTGGATAAAGAAGATGTGGTTTTTCCTATAAAGTGGAATACTACTCAGCCAAAAAGAATGAGAAATTAGACTCATTCAAAGGAAAATGGATAAATATTGAGGATATACTCCTAAGTGAAATAAATAAGACACACATGTATAAATACCGCATAGTTTCTCTGGTGTGAAAAACTGAAAGTGTAAGTAAGATCCAAATTGTATAACTGATAATGTGAAATAGGAAGAAAAGGGCTCATGGTGTAGGGGAAGTGGGAAGGGTAGGGGAAAGGAAATAAGGGAAAAGAAAAAATATGAGAAAAGGAAAAAATGGAAACAGAGTCTTTGTAAATAGGGGAGGGTGAAGGGGGTGAAGAGAGGGCGGGGGCACTGGTAAGAAATGAGAACCAAGACCGTCATGTAAAGGTACAAGATACCAGTGATGAATGCAACTGTACTGTATACCTAAAATGTACCAATCAACTCAATGAGAAAAAAAGCTGGTACAACAACTCTTTGAAGTAGGTATACTATTTCAGCTAGCTTAACCTTATATACGCTAGTATTTACAATTAACTACTGGGAATTGAGAAGGCATCAACATGAAAAAAGAACGTGGAAAGTCCTTTTCCAGAGAAGAGAAAGAGCAGCAGCAAATAGTAACGAATGCAGTGTAGCAATGACTACCCTGGTAGCTATTTTGGTTCATTTTTTCCCCCTATGTAGTCCAGGCTAGTTTCCAATTAGGGCAGAGGTTCCGTTTCAGCCTCCAGTGTTGGGATTACAGACACACACTACCAGTCTCACTCAATTTTGCAGTTCTTGAAGTACAGAATTGATAGTTTTTCTTCAAGCTGAGTAGGTTGTCAATCTATGTTTTCTAATTGTTTTATTTTGAATGCACTCATTGAGACTAGTATTCACTGATCAAAGGGAAGAGAACTTAAGAAAAACAATATTTACTGAGCTTCCAATCTGTACTTGCCAAGTGCTATATTTGCGTCAGGATGCATTTTTGTTTTTTGTTTTTTGGTTTTTTTGAGACAGGGTCTCACTATGTAGTTGAAACTGACCTGGAACTATGTAGCTCAGGTTGGTCTCGAACTCACAGTGATCCTCCTGCCTCAGCGTCCTGAGTGCTGGGATTACAGGTGTGGGCCACCACGCCCGGCTCAGGACGCATTTTGAGACTGTATATCATAGTATTAGGTCTGCAGATTTCAGAACCAAACTGTGTTTGCCATATAACTTTGTTTAAAGTACTTTAAGCTTTTTGCTTCTGACATTTATCATGTGTAAAGTGGGTTATCTTCACCAGAGTATTACTGAGTAGTAAATAATACAGAAAATCCCTTGGAATTGCTTCTAGTACAAAGTGCTCAACATTTAATATTAGTTATCATTTAACCTTCACAATACCCATTTTAAAAGGGGAGCTCATGGAGTTAAGTGGCTTTATAGGTCATCCCCCAAGCTCTTATATAAAAAGATCCAGTTAGGATATATGATTGTTGTGTGCCAAGCTGTTTAAAACTCAACATTCTGTCAAAGACAAAGAGCCTTTGGAATACATCTATATTTTTCTTTAAATAGGAAAAGTACAAAAGTTCAAATTAGCACTTTTTATATTCAACATCTTAAAATATGCAGGATTTGTCGGGAGTAGTGACACACACTTGTGGAGGATGGCAAGTTTGAGCCCAATCTGGGCAAATAGGCGAGACTGTGTCTCAAAATTACAACAAAAACAACAACAACAAAAAAACCGGGCTGGGAATGAGCTCCGTGCAAAGTACCGCAAAAACAACGAAAAAATTAAGCAAACTTTCATTTGCTAACACCCCAGGCTTACTCCTCGGCAAAGAGCCTGATTAGGAATTGTCCAGGCCCCGCCCACACCGTCGCCCCCGCCCCCGGGCCGGCCTCTGATTGGCCGAGGCAGCGCTCCCGGCTAGCG